GCACACGCTCTTTAGCTCACTGCAGTAACACGAGCAGAGGAAGATCTCCGGTACCTTTCTTTCTTGAGGCCTGCAATCTCTGAATCCCTCCGCCCAAGCTCTATTTGTACTTTCTCCAGGGCGCCTTGCATCTTACTGTGAGAGGCCAGCACATTCTCCAACATGATCGTGACTTTGCAGTTGTCTTCCTTAGCCTCTGCTAATTGTCGCTGAAAGTTTCCCACCTGATTGGAAGCGAAATAAAAAGACGTTGGATCCTTTCTGAGCATTCTTACCATCTTCTGAGTCCCATTACTTCTAGGAAGAGGACAGAAGCTAAGACATGACACAGTGCAGAGAGGAACAATGTCTTCTATGTCTCTGTTCTTTCTGAAGTTATTTGTGACTTTGAGAAAAGAGAAAACTAGGCCACGGATCCTGTGGAGAACTCGGCAGGGGTTCCCAGCCATTGTCATGTTCAGCATGTACCTTAACATGTAACATATTTCAACAACTTCTTGTGCCCTGAGAGGGCTCCACACTGGTCTGCTCTGGTCCTGCTCATTTGTTTATGATGTGGGGGGCGGGGTGGGGGGGAAACCCACCCGAAACCCATCAGAATTACCTGAGGGGAAAAAGACCACAGGAGGAAGTGGAAGCAGCTGAAGTGTGATGGAATCCACAGCCCTCTCCTGAGAGGTGACATTTAGCACCTGCTGCCAAGGAGCTGTCTGGGGTGGGTAAAATGGTTGTTGCAGTAGGGACAGAACCTATCTTAACGAACTTCAGGAGGAATCGTGAGAATCAACATCAGCACAGACAGACTCCCATCAGGTGGGGGTCAGACACACTTCCACGTCTCAACCTTTTTACCAGGTCTGAAGCCAGCCTTCCCGCCCAGAGCACACACTTCTCTGCGGGGTGGGATCATTTATCACAGTGACCACATAGAACTCAGTCGGTCCTAAGGATGATGTGGTTTATTAAAGAAGCATGCAGGCCAAGTCTGGATGGTTCCCCCAAGTGGAGCGCACCCCCCTCCGCTTGAGTGCGGGACAGCTCTCTAGTTCCTCCCTATGGGCAGACCTCCTCTCAGCCCCCTCAAGACAGGCCTCCCTTCCTCCTCTTGGCTTCTCAGGACACACAAGAGGCCCGAGAAGAAGCCTGGCCTGAGGGGACTGAGAGGGGACCTGCTTGGCTGAGACAGGGCGTGTACGGCTTGCCTGATTAATTGCTTGCTTGCGCAGTGAAAAGAGTTGAGGGAACTGTCCTTCTCCAAAGAGGGGAGATGGACCCTCCACTTCAGGGACCCGTCCCGACTTGGCCTTCATGCTGCCAGATCCGGATCCCAAGTTGCACCCTGTCACTTCCTTTATAAGCCACTTAACTGTAAGGGCAATAGCTAGCAGCTGAACTGGTTAAAAAAAAAAGGTTGGGAAGTGGGTATATCTGATACACCCTCTGAGAACACTCCCCACCCCCACCCAACCTCATGGGAATTGGCCTTGGGTTGACTTTGATTTGAATTACCCCCTGAAGTTAGAGAGGTGTTAACCACTGTACAGGATGGGACGTCTGTTCTCACTAAGCACACACTGTTCCGTTAGCGATGTAATGGAAAATGTAATCATAGTAATGTTATACAACATTGACACACATAGGTGTAGTTGTTATTGGAGTCCTGGAGCAGTGTAAGTGTCAGTGCACTGGCTGCAAAAGGAGAGAGTGGGGCTCCAGTCCATCCACAGGAGCCTCAGCAGAAAGGCCGGGTGATCATGTGAAGAATCAACCATCGAAAATCCTATGGAGCCCAGTTTACTCTACACACAGTGCATCAGAATCTACTCCATGGCAACTTAAAACAAATGTATGGGAGGTCATCATTATCAAGGTCAGATGTGTTTCAACAACCATCACCACCAAGACATAGGGCTTTTTCTTTTGATTATTTTAAAACAAGAGTTATTGGAAATTAACTAATGAACTTTTTTTAAGGGAAAGATTTAAAACATATTCTACAGTCAACTTTTTTCTGGGGGAAGCCCTGATTAAGCTCCCCCTGTCCTACTGATGGGCACTCGAAGCTGAGGGTAAGGTCAGGAAGGATGTTGTAAGCGGCTCATCGTAGTACGATGCCTGCCTTCTTGTTCTCCCTTTCCTCCAGAGCTTCGAGATCCCCCTTCAACTTCTGGCTCTCTTTCAGGGCTGCATCCCGGCACCTCACTGCTAGACACAGCTCTTCTTCGTTCTTTTCGAGAATGGTTTTCACCTTAGGAAGAAAAAGAAATGATAAAAAAACTCTCCCAAAACACAATACCTCATTGAGTAGGAAAAGACACAGCCATCATTTTAGAAACCCAACCGGAAAAATGATCCATTAAAGGAAAGTCCCCTCCTCCTTGAGCTTTCAGGTAAATGCAAGACTGCTGATCTGTGGGTCGCCAGTTCAGACCCACCAGCTGTCCTGCAGGAGAGTAATCAGGCTGTTCTGGTTCTCCTAAAGATTGATAGCCTTCCAAACCCTACACACGGGGGTCACTGTGAGTTGGAATCCATTAGATGGCAAAGGGTTTAGTTTGGTGGGTGGGCATATATAAATTCAGCTTTATTAGATACTTATCCCATAAAAAAACAAAAAGTGCGGTATAAATACACAGACGCAAACCTATTATATTAGTCACCTTGAAAGACTACCGCAAGGATAGGCAGTACATGACTACCCAAAGCTGAGATGTAAATTGAAGGAGAAATGGACTATCATGGACTTAGATTCTTTTGAAAAGGTAAGTTAAATATATGAGTTATTCTAACAAAAGCTACAGAATCTAACAACAACGATGAATAAATATTCAATAGTGGCCAGTTTTATAGCAGTTCTCAACCTGTGGGTTGCGACCCCTTTGGGGGGGTGTCAAATGACCCTTCACAGGGGTTGCCCGGTTGATAACAGTAGCAAAATTACAGATGAAGTAGCAACGAAAATAATTTTATGGTTTGGGGTCACCACAACATGAGGAACTGTGCTAAAAGGTGGCAGCATGAGGAAGGTTGAGAACCGCTGCCCGACATGATCACTGAAGACAAAAAGGGTGCCTAAGTAAATGTCATGAAGAAAGCTGATGGTGCCCAGTTATGAAAAGATAGAACATTTGGGGTCTGAAAGGCTTGAAGTTAAACAAGTGGTCATCTAGCAGGGAAGCAACAAAGTCCACATGGAAGAAGCACACCAGCCTGTGTGATCATGAGGCACTGACAGGAATAGGCATCAGAAATTCAAATACAAGCAATCAAATTGACATGAAGGAGTAGATTCAAAGTAGAGACCCCAAACCCACCTGTAAGATAACTGGACAATCCTTCACAGAAGGGCCTCATGGAGGGGATGACATATCCAGGGTACAGTATAGTACTAATGAGACACATAACTATCCTCTAGTTCTTTAATGTTTCCTCCCCTTACTATTATGGCCTTAGTTTTACCTCATTAATCTTGTCAGATCTGCAAATGTTCATTTGTATAATTATGATAGTTCAATGCATGAAGTCCAAGATAGATAAACTTCAGAAATAGTAATGGGAGTAATGATGCCCTGAAGGTATGGGAAGAGGGGTGTGTGTGTAGAGAATGGGGAGCAGATATCAATGATGACTATATAACCCCACTTGAGGGGAATGAGTAACAGAATTGTAGGTGAACAAATACACTAGATGGTAAGATACGGAGGAAAAAAATATATATAATAACAAGGATTCCTGGGGGGGGGGGAGGGTAGATAATGGGGAGCTGATATCAGAGTTGAAGAATAAAATGGTTTCAAAATGATGGTGGCAGCAATTGTACAATTATGCTCAAACTAGTTGAATTATGGATTGTTATCTGTAAGAGCTCTCAATAAAAAAAAATTTTTTTAAAGAAAACTGAGCCATTAGAGGTGAGTTCAGTTCTGACCTGATGGTGCCTAAGGGCAACAGTCTCAGGGACTGTACCAGTCGCTATCTGACCAGGGAGTCTAATCTTTTTTGTGTGATGTTGAGTTTTGTTCCATATTTTCGTCCCACTCTATCCAGGGCCTTCTATTGTGATTGCGTTCAAATCAGTTGCCTGTGGTAGTCAGGATCCACCACACCATTTCCCACAGTATCTGCAGGAGCGTTCCAATTTCTCCATATCCTCACCACCAGCTGAGATCTTCTGTTTTAAATCACAGCCATTCTAGTGGGGATGGGGAGACATGGCATCTCCCTAATGACTAAGGGGCCCTGGTGGCACTGTGGGCTATGTGCTGAGCTATCTAAAAGGTTGGCAGTTTGAACCCACCAGCTACCCCGTGGAAGAAAGAGGAGGCTATTTGCTCCTATAAAGATTTGCAGTCTCAGAAGTTCAGCAGAGCAATTCTACCCTGTGAGCTGTTGAGTTGGAATCAACTCAATGGCAATACGTTGTTGTTTTAATGAACTTCAACTCATCTTTTCATATGATTCTTGGCCATTTCACCTATTAGGTGAAATGTCTATTCAGGTCCTTGGCTCATTTTTTGATTGGTCTATCTTTTCATTGATACAGAGTCTTGGAAGGAAGAATATAGAAAGTCTTGGAGGGAGGAATTAGGATGGTGTCCAGGTAGAATCACCCACCAAGTGCTCCTGTTGTTAGATCAGAAAATTAAGAGGCAGGGAGGCCAGTGTTGGGTGACTGAGTGCTAAAAATAGATTCAGTGTAGTAGGGTCTAGTTCAGACCTCCCCCTGTGATTTTTACCCACGGCGCAATTTGGGAATTCACTGAAAATACTTTAAGTTCACCGCATCTGCCTGTGGGCTCAGTTAATCCCTCACCTGATCCAGCAGGAAATGGTGTCCGACACCCCTTCTATGCCCAAGATACGAGACTCGCAGCATGCAGTAATTTCCCCAGGCTGCTGTCTAAAGGTGGTCATAATCCCAGTCTCAAGAGTGTGAGGTGCCCTCTCTGCTATACACCCTGCTCCTACATTCTCCGGCTTTGCATTCTCTCTCCCCAGCCAGAAACGGAGTGACTACATCGGCCATCCCCTTTCCCTTCTCCCAAGCTCTGTGCCTGCCAGCATGGGTACCGACAGATGATTAATCACTAATTTGCAGCAATTGAAGAACCCATATTTACTGTTCACATAGCTGTGCAGGAGAGAGCGAGGAGTGACACAGGATTGCAGCCGGGGAAGAATTCAGAGCCAGTCAGCCCCCAAACCAATTGGCTAATCTGGTCCCCTTTCCCTAGGGGATAGTACAACACAGCCCCAATACCAGGGCAGCCCACAAGCCAATTTTGAAAATAAAAACAAAACAAAACAAAACAAATGCTTACAATTCCAGGCTGTGCTTCTTTGTGTAACTTTGAATGTAAGCTGCCAGAAACCTGGTCTTGGCGTATTAGCATAATATTAATGTAACAAGACAGGCAGAGAACTCTAATCCCCAGAGCACAGCTTAGGATTTTAACATAACAAAACAGGAAAATCCAAGGGTTGAAAGCCACAGCCCAAGCCAAAAACTGGCTCTACCAGTTTTGGGCTCCACTAAGAGTCTTTAAAAGATGGCAAATTGTGGACAGTCCAAGCAGGTCTGTGCTCACATTGCAGGAACACCCCAATCCGCCCGAGTGGCATACCTACAGTCACCTGCCTCGGCACAGCCTCTGAGGCACCCCCACTGCCTCTAGCCACTGAGTTCTTGTCATACCTTGCTTACAGAGTAGCCTGGCCCAACACCATAGTAGGCCACAGGTAGTCCCAAAACCACTCTTACCAGTCACACAGAGAAAGAGCTCAGGTCCCCTAGGTCTCCTGGGAACATGGCACCCAGTTCTTCCAAAATGACACGCAGACAGCAATATACCTCAACACCCTCAACAGGAAAACAAGAAAAACAAAATGCAACAGTGGAGGAAGTCCTAAGCCTAACAACTCTCATAGAAGAAACAGATGGTGAACTGCAACAAAAAGAAATGGTCAGAGTGCTGCTTGGAGTAATACAGGGTATGAGGGAGGAGACACAGAGGATGCAATGATCGAGGAGATGAAGTCCACACACAAGGGGAATGCAAGAACTAATGAATGAGGTAACAGAACCCAAACGCAAGATAAGGGACCTCGCCAACAGACTAGAGACTATCAGGCAGGCTTCAACAAATGGGGCAGTCAAATAAGAAAATCAAAGAGACATAAGAAAACCTGAGAACAATGACAGATGCTATGAAGAGAAATGATATTTGAAAAACTGGTCTTCCAGGACAAGACACAAAGAAGAATCAAAAGCTAAATTAGTGAGGGAAGTCCTGGAAGCTAACTTCCCCACTTTAATGAATGAGAATCAGACATTCATACAGGAAGCACAGAGGACTCCAATTAGACTAAAGCCCAGGAAGAACTCACCAAGGCATATAATAGTTAAATTATCCAACTTTGAGGAAAAAGAGAAAAAATTAAGAGCAGCAAGAGAAAAATAGGCAGTCAGATACAATAGTGCTCAGGTAATAATATGCTCAGACCAATCAGCAGATACCATGAAGAGGAGGAGAGTGGAGTCACATCTTCCAAAAGTTGAAAGAAAAACATGCCAGCCCAAGAATCTTCTACCTTACCAAACTATCTATTAAGATAGACAGTGATGTAAGAGTCTCTCTGGACAAGGAAAAACTCATAGAATAGCCCATAAGACACCCAACTCTGCAGAAAATCCTTGCCAACTCACTGTGGTCAGAAGACCAACATCCACCAGGCACAAGCTGAGACTGCCATATAGCTCAATTCCATTTTGAAGTCAATGTACCGAAAACAGTTACCAAGATAACATTGCCTCAGAGGGAAAAGAAAACAAGAATGAAGCCCCCCACATAAACAAACATGTGAAACCCCTCCCTTCACATGATATGAAGGGAGACAGGAAAACAGCCAACACAAAAGGTATGAAACGACAGCAATGAATCCATAGTGTTAATAACTCTGAATGTCAACAGCCTAAACTCGCCCATTGAAAAACAAAGGTTGGCAGACTGGCTCAGAAAACATAGCCCAGCAATCTGTTGCCTGCAAGAGACACATTTTAAGGTCACACACAAAAATAGACTAAGAATAAAAGGCTGGCAGAAAATATACCAGGCAAATGGCAACTTAAAAAGAGCAGGGGCTGCAATCCTAATCTCTGACAAAATTAACCTCAAAGTCCAAAATATAACAAGAGACAAGGATAGACACAATATAATACTCAAAGGATCCATAGACCAGGGCCCAGTA